GCACCAGCCGAGACCTCGAGAGACCCTCCTTCGTCTGCGAGAGTACTTCGACACTGTGCGACACTCAGAGGTACTTCAGAACTTTCAGTTCTTTTCATTTTCATCTTTGATTTGCTCTGTATATTCTCGATTTCTGATTGGTTTATGCATTCATCATCCGCAGATTACATGGCAGCCCTGGGTGTCCCTGGGTGACGGCCTCCGACTTCAGTATACCGGAGCATCGGGCATCTCCCAATATAGGGTCCTGCTCGAAGGGCCGGTTGGCAGGGCATGGTTCCTGGGGGAACGCTTTCTGCGCCAGGTATGGGGGGATCTTTCTCAGGATATTCCCGCAGCACCTCCAGCTATGCGGACCGCTGACAGGCTCTCTTACTCAGAGGTAGTCGGCGCCATGCTTGGCAGCGATGCTTTGTTATATGTTTGCGGAGGGGACTACGCCACCTATCGTCACATATATTTGATGCCTCCATTGACAGAAGCTCGTATTCCGATGATGAGACCTGCCGGTATGTCATCCTCGATCAGGCTCAGGCTCGAGCTACACCCTTCTACCAGCAGGGCTGGTACATCTAGAGGTGGGAGTAGACCGGTTCCTCCGGCTCCGTCGATTCATCCTCATATCGGATGGCCAGATATGCCGACTGAGTTGATGGCGTGGCAGTATGGGGCTATCTCTCCGACCCCGATTCCACTAGAGCCTCCGATGCCCAGTGATCGATATGCCATTGATCCGGACTCACCGCCGGTATGCTCCACTTTTTTCATTCATCATTCAGATGTTTAGACACTCTTCTGTGCACTGATGATTATGAGCTCATTTTTGCAGCCGTCGCGGGGGTACATAGAGGAGGTGGTTGGACTGGTGGCCACACTCGAAGGCATGGTCCTGCGCAGGGAGGCACAGTTATCTGTCGCGGGCATCCAGGTACCCTTCAGTTTTCTGGCATTTATCATACTTCTGATGACATGCTGATTTCTACTGCATCGATAGACTACTCGTGTAGAGTACATCTGACACACACCCCCACTTATATTCTGTATTTACATGCACCCATTTCATGTAGCCTTTGCTTGTATCTGCATTTGATGTACATATTTTGACTGATGTATTTGAATTGAACTCTTTGTTTTCAGATGCCTTCATGGTCTGGTCAGCCGCAGGCCAGGCCGCCTGGGCCTCATTGGGGAGCTGGGCCATCTGAGCCTTTTCAGGGGGCGGGGTCATCTCGGCCTTCCCGAGGAGCCGGGCCATCTAGGCCTTATCAAGGAGCTCGAGGAGGGCCTGTCCGCAGACGTAGGACTCACGTTGTGGAGGTGGAGCCTGATGAGGAGGAGGAGGAGGCTACCGACCGTCAGTTCGAGACATCTGCTGAGGAGGGAGGCTCCGGTTTTGGCCCGGGGGACAGAGGCGAGGCTGAGGGGGATCCTGAGGATGACAGCTCCGACTCAGATGATGGTGTGGAGGTTGTCCTGCAAAAGAGGACGAGGCGTGCTTCTCGTTCCCGCTCCCGAGGACTTTGATGTTGCTATTTCCTGCTTTATTTTTCTTTTACTAGTAGTTTGTAGCACTTTGCACATTGTTAGGCAGTTTTATTTTTTGTAAAACTTGTACCTTTGTTTGTTGTAAAGCATGATGAAATGAAATAGCTTTTGAAAAGGTGTTTGTATTTTTAGCATCGTATCGCATCATTTTATTTTGCACAAGAATGAAATTGAATGGAAATGTGCATTGTGTAATCACCAAGTCAGGTAGTGAACCGACGCAACAAACTAAACAACTCAACTTACTAAGATATAACAGAATCTTTAGCAAGTTTACAACTCGATAAGCAAAATGCAACAACGCAAATTAACAAAAATTGCTTAAACAGCGAGTAATGACTCAAAAACACAAAACACGTCCGCTCGACGAACAACTCGATAAGCAAAATGCAACAACTCGATAAACAAAACTCAACAACAACAGAGTGTACTTCTGACGATCTGGGCATTGGAACGCATCCGAAACGGAGGGAGATGAAGGCCTTTGACTCTCCCGTTACACGGAAATGCTTGGAACTTTCCCTTGAAGGGTAAAACAGGGCCAATGAGATATACTGCAGCATTGCCAGCCATCCCTGGGAGCTGGCCGGCCATTTTTGGTGGAGAGAGACAGCTGGCCGGCCATTTCTGAAAAAGTAGATGACTGGCCAGCCAGAAAAAGTAGCTGGCCGGCCATTCAGTCCTGCAGCCACCAGATTTTTGACACGTGTCCCCGTGAATAGTGTTTTTCCTTCTATAAAAGCCTCAACTTCGGGAACATTCATTTCATCTTAGTTTTAGACAAAGATGGAGGCGTTTCTCGCAGAAAATG